AAAATATAAAGTGGTAAAATGTTGTTCCAAATAAAACCTAAAAGCCTACTACAATGATGGCCCAAAAAAAATTGATAGATTAAAATTTTGACTATCTTAAGAGTATGAATCTTATTTTGTGTTTCATGCTTTTTCCATTTTTTTCTTTGAGCATTGTACTTTTTGTTACAAATCAAGTATGAATTTCATATCATTTGAGTTTTTTTAGGCTTTACCTAATTATAGTTATGTTTTTATGCATCAATCTTAATTATGTCTTCAAAATTTATGCAAAAAATTTAGGAAAATTTACATACATACAACTATATTACTATCATTTTACATATCAACACCTTAAATATTGAAATTACACTTATACCACCCAAATACCGAATATACCTCATTTCTACCACTTCGTCTACTGCGGTCCTCACGACATCTTCTTCCCCCTTGTTTGGCAAATAAGAGCTCGTGAGACGGGAGGAAAATGAGTTCTATTATGTGCTCTCAATTGCATGAACCAAATGGATTTGTTTGCTTGAGTTGGATCTTGGTCTTTTAAGTGGTGGCTAGTAGCATTGTTCGTTTGCTTTGGAGGTCTTTTTGGTTTTATTTGTATGCATAAGGTTGCAGTTGTGTTTCCCGAGTGCAGTTTTCTCTATGTGAGTTAAATTACAAATAAGTGTAATATGGTTTCAACAAAATGTAGCTCTCCCTGGGTGAGTTTTGTTTCAACATGTAGCTACAACATATAACTGAGTTTTGTTATAGCTCTCCCTGCGTGCTCTCTGTGGAAATAACAAAATGCAGCTCTCAGTTTCAACATCCCCCGACATGTAGCTCTCAATTTCAACATATTTTACCTCGTTATTATCTTATAATTTTCCTCTATGTGAGTTTTGTTGCATTGTTAAAACCTAATGTTGTGGTTTTTTGACAAATTTTCTATAACTTTTACTATCATTATCACCTCAAATGTATATTGTATACCTGCCATCGAGGACCTAACAGTGGAAGGCAGTTTTCTAGATGAATTTATGATCGAAATAAGGATAATTGTAGTTACTTTAAATGGGTAGATCGATGAGCAAGAAAAGCCATCTTATGTGACACATTACAAATTTAAGGCCTTTAATGCAAGGACTTCTAAGAAGCGTGACTTAATTCATCTTATGATTAATTTTTATGTTGCGATAGTTCTTATCGACATTACACTCCGAGTTTATTTTGGCTACTACTGTATTTTGTTCAAGCATAAGATTTTATGGCATGTTTTGTAGCATAGCGATATGTTGTATCTTCACTGTTTTTGTGGAATGCAAAGAAAAATCTGATGTTTGTTGGAGAAATTTTGTATTTTCTGCTTCTGTGGAATGAACAGAAATTCATTATTTTCTTCTTTTGTGGAATGCAAAGAAATTCAATATTTTCTACTTATGTGGAATGAAAAGAATTATGCATATTTTGCTTTTGTGGAATGCAAAGAAAATATGTATTTTCTATTTTGGTATTCACTACTTTTGTGGAATGTAAAATTATGATATTATGGGATACTGTAAAACGTAAAGTTATGATTTCAAAGTTGGATTAAGTAATATGAATGCCTATAGGAATTGTTTTTCCTTTCTTATGTTAAGTTTAAGAATTAGGCATTCAATTCTTTATCCAAACAGTGACATAGATGTTGTTACACATGATTAAAAGTATTCCAACAATCAATAAGAAGGATTAAAAGGACTGAATAGGGTCATTACATTATCAACATAATGTTATATCATTTACATATCAAAGATCAAAACAGTAGTCAGATAAGAGGAGCCCAACAAATTCTACCCCAAAACACGTGTCCCTAAAAAGTCAGACCAAAAAACTAAAATTTCTTTAACCTCCAATTACTTATAGGCTTCAACATATGAATACCCGTATTCATCTCCATCATTAAACTCATCAGTAATCAGGCTACTTAGCAACTTTGGTCGTTTTGGTTGCCCTACTTGTGTTATTAATGTGTCATCGATGATATTGTGTAATGAGTTATTGCATGTACTTCGATTATGACCCAAAGAGCACACCTGCTACATTTATGTACTTTCTTTTCTTTTTCCAAAAAATTGGTAATCTTCTTTTTATGGGTCTTCCTCCAGGTCTTGATGGATTTGGCACTCCACTATCAACCACATAGTGAACTACTTGCCATTAATCCTTCCTAGGTAATGTAGAATATGCTCCCTTGTACGCCATCCTGTACCTAAAAAACTTGTAATTAGTGTACATAGTGTGATGGGGAATTGGAATTCAATAAAAAAAATGATAAAGTTATATGTAGAGTAGTAATCATGAACGTATGTATGACACAGTGGATGCTCCTTCATCCCAATGAACGCCATGACATGAATGCAAGGAAGTCCTGTTAAATACCAAACCTTACATGTGCATTCTCTGGATTCAACATCAACTATATGTCTTGAATGGACGGATTCCACCTCAAACTTGAAAATACTAGATTGATGAACTAACAAACTGTCTTTTCTTATAGTAATTTCTCTTATGTATTCTTCTACATGGGGAGCTATTTCACGTTGCCATGTCAAGCTTGTTAACTTATGTGCAGCTCTTTGCTCCAAAAATTTTCCATGAATCATGTCAATTAAGTCAACAACTAGTTTATTTATAGCATCCACTATCCATGCATTGAATGATTTGACGAAGTTATTGATATTGGTTGTGTGGTATATCCCTAATATAAACTGACTTCACGAGCATTTGTAAAGTAATGATGTTAGTACACATAGATAGTCAGACTCAAAACACTTAGTTCAACAATCTTCTCATTGTACTATGTGCTGGTATATGCATTAGATGCTGCCAAAACCAATCCTTGGAGTTTATGTCCATCTTTGTAATGATTTTTTTTAATATTCTTCCACAAATGACGAGTACACACTCTATGCTCAGCTCTAGGGTCTACAAACATATATGAATCCATCTGCACAAACCATAAAGCTAAAATAAAATCTCTGAAATGAATAGTCATGATTGTCATAGGAATATGTGATATGTGAACCATGATTTCTACCAATCAATTCAATTTGTAGTGTCGGTAACCATTTATAATTATCATTTATAGAGCCAAATATATTGTCACGAGCTTGCTCCCTCGACCTCCACACCTTCATGTAAGGTAATGAATGACCATATTATTTCTCTAAATTATTATTGATATCTTTTGGAGGAATGTTAGGATTTCTTTTAACCATCTCATGAATTTCATTAGCAATCCCATATAGTTGTGGCTAGTCTATTCCCAGCACGATTGATCCCACGATAAGTGTGAACTCTATCAAGTCTCTTAATTTCAAAAGTTTGAGTGTCTTCATACAAGGAAGCTCGAATTTTCTATTTACAACCTTGATAAGAACATGTATCAATAGCATGTTTCTTGTCACTAGCCTTTATCATGACTTTAAAATTCTCCTTGATGGCAACTGATCACAGAGCATGCTTGAAACTTGTTGCGTTAAAAGAAAAGGTGCCTATCTTTATAACATAAAGTTAGAGCACTTGAAATACCATCGTTATAGTTAAAAGAACATGCAACTATTTGCTCAGAAGTCACAACCTCTCTAAAATTAGAAATTGATTCATGTCCTTCTACTTATTGAACTGTAATAACTATCTTGGCACATAATTAATTATCAACGAATAATTTATCAATTCAGTCACCAAAACGTCAGAAATGATGCCTTTGTATTCCTTCGGTGATGTACCATATATATAATAATACATATTATATGGATGCCCCTTAAGCCATAGACATATTCTAGCAATCTCTTCTCTAAGCGCGAATATAGTTAGTTGTCATTTCTCAAATTTCACAGTCTTTTATTTGCCACCATCATACCTCTTTCTATGTTGATCATTGGTTTGAACTCGTATTCCTCCATACTTAAATACAATAGAAATATACTCTTTCGGCTCTCTATATAAATTATTTCCAGTATTGTCACCATAAGCTTATAATATCAATTATAAAAATGTAATTTAAAGATTTATAAAGTCTTTTAAATGAAACATTCAGTACTCACGAAATAGATCGTCTTGGACCACATCAATAACTGCTCAGAGTAAATGAATGATTTCCTTCAAATATTGTTTCAAACAATCTCCTTCGACATAGTTAATATGTCCTTTAATTTAAACTTATATGATGAAGTGTCTAAAAGACATTAGTGCAGATTTTTAAAAGCAGAAATACAGTCATAATAAATAGTTGTTATACTTTCACCTGCTTTTAAATAGTTGATATACTTTCATATTTCAAAGAAGAGCATGGCTTTAAATGGAGCCGTTACCTCGCTGGAAGGCGCACTCTAGTAGGATTTTACGAGCAGATGTCCGCGCAAAGGAGTTTGCTAGACGTGGCGACAATGTTGTTTTCCAAATAAAACACACATACATACATAGCTCGCTAGATTTTGTGTGCAAAGGGGGGCTTTTAGCATGAATAAAGACGCCATGAACTATGCGGTAGACGTAGTGGTAGAAATGAGGAAAAATAGGAATTTGGGCAGTATAAGTCTAATATTAATATTTGAGGTATTATATACGTAAAATGATAGTAATATAGTGGTGTATATATAAATTTCTGAAAAAAAATTATGTCTTTATACCTAATTTTTATTATATTTTTTAGAGGAATTTACGTACATACCACTTCATTTCATGCTATTTATATATCTAATATCTAAAATTTTAATATTATATGCCTATCATCTATATAACAAATATAAGTGCATGTAATGAAATATTGAAGTTTATAAGATGATATGGGTGATAAGAATTAAATATAAAAGTGATATATTTAATATTAACATTTTATAAGCGGTAGAAATATAATAATCAAATTTTAAATATTAAATATATAAATAATAGAAAATAAAATTGTAAATCCCCCATTTCTTATCACTCATATAGTCATATTTCATATTTCATAGGCTAGTGCTCGTCGATTGCTTTCCGGCCGCTATTGCCAACTTCATTTGTCGTCTTTTCGTACGCACTGTTGCTTCTATGAACCCTAAACGTCTGCATGGAGACGCACCGATCTGGGAAGGATCGGGTGGTACTGGTACCGTTCACTGATTTTGATCCTGCGAAGCTCGCCGGCTTCTCCCCCGCCGTTCCACTTACGATCCGTTCACTTGCAGTCTTCACTGCCTCCGAGGTTGAAACCCTGATTTACGTCGGCACCGGTGGCGGTAAGCTCATTCTTCTCTCATTGAACCCTTCGCTTCCATCTACTTCTTCCGATGACAGCTCCAATGGTCCTCCGATCGCGCCGGTACAGTTTCTAAGGTCCGCGACGGTCAGCAACCGTGTCATCGAGTCGATCAACGTTCTACCTGAGATTCGAAGAGTCATTGTTCTCTCGGATGGATTCTTGTTCTTGGTAGATACGCTGCTATTGCAGTCTATAAGGAAGCTAGGGTTTGCCAAGGACGTTACCGCCATTTCAAAGAGGGTTTTGCAGCCAGATTCGTCGATTTCGGATCCTTTTGGCGATGGAGCGGTGAGAGCGGAGCTTTCGAGATATGGGCAAACTTTTCTTCAGAAGTTTGGAGGAGGGATTCGGGTAAATGGGACAGCATCTAGGGTTTCTGAGCTGCAGAGAGGAGCAGGAACTGGTTGCTTTTTAGCAGCTGCCACAGGGAAAAAGTTGTTATTGATCGAGCTTTTTTTGCCGAGCAATGTTGACTTGGATGCTGAACATGGTGGCATTTCCATGCGCTGGAAGGAGATTCAGGGAATTGAAGGTGTGAAGACCATGGTTTGGGTTGGTGATTCTATAATAGTAGGAGCATCAGAAGGTTACATGCTCTTCTCTGATGTTACTGGTAAAGGCTCCTTAATTTTTTCTCTTCCTGAATCCTCTCCGCCTTTGGTGAGACCTTTAGTGCGAAGCTCCGATGTGCTTCTTTTGTTTGATAAAGTTGGTGTGGTTTCCAATGCTCTGGGACATCCAGTTGGCGGGAGTTTGATTTTCCAGTATGTGCCGGAATCCATTGCTGAGTTGCATCCGTATGTAATAGTTGCTCGAGATGGTAAGTTGGATTTATATAGGAAGAAAACTGGGGTTTATGTGCAGTCTTTGTCATTGAAAAAGAGTAGTGTTGGCCCCTGCATTGTTGCGAATGATGATCAGGGTAGTGGAGATATTCTTGTTATTGGAACAACTTATAAGGTTGGTATGTCTCGCACTGTTTTCTGCTGCTTTCTTTCACTGTTGTTGCAAAGAAATATGGTACTAATAAATATAAAATTCTCGCACCACTCAGTCATTTGTTTATTCATGTTTCATCTCTAAGGAGCATGTTCGCTATTTTTCTAATTTTCAGGCCTGTTGTTATCGTAAAGTGCCTCCAGAAGAACAGATCAAAGATTTGCTAAGAAAAAAGCATTTTAAGGAAGCCGTTTATCTGGTGGAAGAGTTTGAGTCGGAAGGTGAAATGACAAAGGAGATGCTTTCGTTTGTGCATGCCCAAGTGGGCTTCCTATTACTCTTTGAGTTGCATTTTGAAGAAGCAGTTGATCACTTTCTGCTATCGGAATCAATGGATCCATCTGAAATATTTTCATTCATAATGAGGGATCCCAACCGGTGGTCCCAACTGGTACTTGACTAGTCCTCAAGTTTATTTAAATGCATGCTTGCTGTAATTTTTTCAAATCGATATTTTAGTGCATGCTTACATCTCTGGTATCTTCTGCTGCCATCTTAATAAAGCAGTCATGTTTCAGGCGCCAAGGAAGCGCTACTGGGGATTGCATCCTCCTCCTGTACCTCTTGAACAAGTTGTTGATGATGGGCTTCAGGCTATTCAACGAGCTATGTTTCTCAGAAAAGCTGGTATTGTCAATGCCACTGATGAGGATTTTATTTTGAATCCACCAAGCAGAGCTGATTTATTGAAGTCAGCAATTGAAAACATTATCAGGTTGCTTATTATTAATTTAAATTGAGATAAGATACTGTTTGATCAACTTGTCATATAGGATATTCTATAATTAAAGTTGCACGCATTTATCAGAATTTGGAATCTTTATCTTGACTCTTATCAGCTTCCTTTAATGGACTTAGATATCTGCTTGTCTGCCGGGAGAAGGAATTGCTTCCTCCTGTGAAGGAAGGGGTCGACACTCTTTTAATTTACCTTTACAGAGCCCTTAATCGTGTGCCAGATATGGAGAAGCTTGCATCATCCGAGAACAGCTGTGTTGTGGTATGTGTTTTTATCTTTTCTAGGTTTTCACATAATGTGTTATAGTGTATCTTGAGGCATTATTGGTTTGTGTCACTTGCACAATCAAACTTTAGTGAGTATAAGCCTCAAGGGAAAGCACTATGTATGTGTGGGCAAGCAGTGGAATCTTCTGTTCCTTTGCATTGCAAAGCAGATTCACCGTTGCGAGAAGTCTGCTTGAGGGATGACCCTGCAACTTGCATGGGCGGTGCAGGAGGAGTTAGAAACCTTGTTAGATGGCTCTGGACATTTACGGACGCTTGCATTTCTGTATGCTAGTAAAGGGATGTACTCCAAGGCTCTCACTATCTGGCGTATCCTGGCAAAAAACTATTCAACGGGACTCTGGGAAGATCCCATAGCTTCTGTGGATTATGATTCAAACTCAACTTCTGATTTGCTCTCTGGTCAAAGAGTAGCGGCTGCTGAAGCATCAAAGCTGCTACAGGAGTCATCAGATCAAGCTCTTGTTCTTGAACATCTTGGATGGGTTAGTTTTATTGAATTCTTGTTCACTTCTTTTATTGAATTGCTATAAATATAGCTATTATTCCATCTGTATGTCTACTTAATTGGTTATTACTGGCTTTAGATTGCTGATATCAATCAAGAATGTGCCATCCTGGTTTTAACATCTGAGAAAAGGAGCAAACAACTTTCACCAGGTAATTATAAGGTATTTATCAATTTATTCCTCTTTCCAGGCCCTTACCATCTTGGAGATTAATACCAATTATGTAAGCATGAGATAGAGAATATCTTCACACCTTGAACTTATGCCGTTCAGTTAACCTAACAAATGATATGTGTTATGCTATTGTTTTTTCCTGTGGTTAACAGCCCCTTTTCATGAATATGGTATGAAATAGGAACTTAAGCTGGTAATATGCAAGAAATGTCTGTACACTATACTTTCGATTCATCACCTTAGATTCACTATGATGTCTAGCCCTGATAATCAAAATGTCTCTCAGATTTTAAGGAAGCCTAATCTTCTTCGTCGGTTTGACTTGTTATGAACTATCTCAAATTTATTTGATATGCTAAACAAGTACAAAAAAGGGAGGGAAGTTACCATAATTGACTGAGTGAAATAGCTTTTTTTTTTACTTGAAATTGGAAGTGCACTAAGTGTGTATACTTTATTTTTTGGTTTTTTTGTAAAATTATTATTTTTGATCAAATAAAAAGATCTTTGAGAGTTGAATAGTTAGGACCATATATCTTTTTCAGTGGATCAAATCTATCTTGATCAAGAAAAAAATGTTAGATGTTTCGTTTGTATAATTTTTTTTTGATCTGGAATTTATTATAATGTTTTCCACCATGATATCAAGATATCTTATTTGGTAAATTCTTGATTAAATATTATTAAATGATAAGCACATAAAAAAGAAACTACCTTTCTTTTAGGCATTCTTTTTCTTTAAAAAGTTCCAAATAAGATCCTAGATTTGTATTTTTTTAAAATTTTAAGTGGACTAGCTTTTCATACGCCACTGAAAATTATTTAAATTAATTAAATACATTTGTATACTTATGTAGAACTTTTTCATGGAACACTTAAGCTTAACAAAATCATTTATACTTGCTTCTACCAAACTCACTCTTTTCTCCAATCACTATATAAATAATTATACTTGTTTCAATATTATTTTCATAGCATTGTATTAGATAACATTATAATGAATAAAAAAATGATAATAGACAAATTCATTCAAGTCGTTATATGATTAGAAAAGATAGATCCAAATATAGAATTGATGCAAACCTAAATTCTTAAGTCAAGTAGGAGAACACTAGATATGAAAATAAAATAAATAACTTCCTTTCAATAACACAAAAACAAACACCAAAATGATGGACACTTGGTAGAAAACTATTGTAGGAAATTCATTTGGAAGTCGCATGAGAAAGAACAAATAACAAAACACAAACTATATACCCTCAGAGCAACCACAAATGGTCACCTCTCATGCAAACACAAACTAAGGAATGTGCTCAAAGGAAAGGACAAACCAGAGATCCACCATAAAAAATTATGATCCAGCTAAAGCCTATGCTCTTTTAGCAAATATCAATAGAATGGGGCACAACACCTCCTTACAACTAACAGTATTTAGAGAAGAAAGATACATATGGAAGGAAAACTGTGGAGATAAGAAGTAAAAAGAAGACCAAGAGGAATAAATAGGGGTTAGGGAGAAGACAACTCACAAGCTAAAAAGAAGCCCTCAAGTTTATTTTTTTTTCACACCATCAACAACCTCTGCACAATGAAATTAAGCCACTATTTATAGGAGAAAGGAGGGGAAATGACATTTATTAACTCCCATAAACGAGTCTCTAAAACAATCAATAAGAACCGCCCAACACAACCCCAAAAGAGAAACCCAAAGCATCTTGCGTAGGAAACAACAAAGAGAAAAACGAGCAGCCAGTAGCAGGAAAATAGAGCCAACCAACAGGGAAACCGAGCATACAATAGGGAAACAAACAATTAGCATAGAAACTGAACAAACAACAGGGAAAATGAGCAGACAAAAGGAAAACCAGCATACAACAAAGAAAAACCAGCAGACAACAGAGAAAAACTGCTAGAAGCAGAGAAAAAAATAGTAGACAATAGGGACAAACAGTAGACGACAAGAGTAAGGAAGCAAGATCAACACAGCAGGAAGACAATGGAGTGAACTGACCTGAGAGCACCTAACCCTACATGACCATGGGTTGTTTTCCATCAGAGGGCAAAAGAAAATAAAATTACATATCATCCAAAAATACAAGAAAATAAAAATAAGATAAAATGATAATTCTTGACAATATCAATTCTCCCCTGGTTATGAGATACTTTAGTCATCCGCTGGTAGATATCATGATGACGAAGTTGCAACTTCTCATTTTCAACAATCAGTCAAGGAGACGTCCACTCTATCTAACTAAGAATCGTCGATGTACTCCATGTCTTATTTGGGTAGTTCGAATATCCACAACATCATAGGGAACGATAAGGGGCAAAGTCCCGCACAATTGTATGCTTTTAGCAGCACCTGTTAATATCTTCTCAACAATTGAAGGTTTTTTTCCCAAAACAAGGCTTTACATAATATGCGATTGAACCAACTCTTTTAAAAAACTCAACATCTTTTGATAGAATATTGCTAACCAAAGTATCATTGTTAAGAAAAATAATGGATGATAAACCTTTATTTGACGCAGCTAGATTCATCAATTCAAGTTATTCATCCTCTATAATCTGCTTGTTCTCTTCAATATTTTGATGAGTTATAAAGGTTTTATCAATAGCTTCCTTCATGGCCATTGTCCCTAATTGCAGTTCTTTGGTTGCCTAACCTTCTCTTCTTCCATGTTTACTTTATTCAACGGCTTCTTTGTAGCAGACAAGTTGATCAACATACTGCAATGTCGCCTCATTAGATCGCCTTTCAAGAATAGTAGCTTCTCCATTGTGCCTTTCATAATCATGCATCTCTTTGTCAGTTAGTGTTTGCACCTCACTCTTTCTTTTAATACATTGATTCTCACATGCTACCAACCTATCCAGGACTTCAACTTTGTTTGCTGTTTGAGTCTCCTCACTCTTGTGTAGCCTTTGCATTTGAGAAGTGACATCATTGGCCAACGTATTAGTTAATACAAATTTACTCATAATATCATTGACCGGATAAATGGTAAACTGAGCATCTTGAAGAGCATAGCCTTATTGCATTTCTTTTTTTTGATGTTGTTTCCCAGAAGAAAAACATGACAACTTACTACCAAAAATATGAACTGAATCAGGATTAGCTAAATAACTAACTTCATCAATAGGTGTTCTTCTGAGTGAGTTTTGTAGGCAGCTAGAATCTGCTCGTTGGAATACAAATGTTATCTTATTGGATCTCGCATTTTGTTTCAAAATCGATTGCCCTTTGGAGCTCAAGTTGGTTGTTTTAGCTTTCTCATCATTTCATTGTTTTGGGAATTAGTATTGTTTCGTAAGGTCTTCGCTTCGCCCTATTTATATATTTTTTATTAAAACATACCTAGATAATAAAACTAAAGCCCTGAATAAATCACGTCTTCATGCACCCCTAAGCCACAACAACTTTCTCTCGATTACCTTGCCCTCCAACCCGCCGCTTTCGTTGTAGCCATCAATGTCGTTGTTGCATCCTAGGATCACTTGAAAGCCGCACTCTTGAGGTTTCTCTAAAAAATTTGGAGTATTAATCTCATCATTATGTTGATGAAAAGTACTTATGAAATAGAAGGATGACTAAATAAATGAATAATAAGTAGATTGAGAGGTATGGAATTTCACTGTATGAGATAGGAGAGAGACCATTTGTTATGATAACGACTCAAATAAATACCCCCTAGTGATGACATTGCAGATAATTTCAAAGTTGTTGCCAACTATTTTAGCTTTCTTTAGAAATTATGTGTGGATGAGTAGGAAACTAAGCTAGAAGGAATTTAGAGTTGAACTTGATGATTGTATGATACCTTTATGCAATTCTTATAGTTAATGTTGTTTTGCTCTTATAATATTTGTATTTCAATTTTATTTCACTCAATTTATCACTTGTCACTTTACGTCTTGTACAATTTTTTATTTTATTTGTATGTCAATCTGGTACTTCATAATTTAATAGAAAGTTAATATTTCATCCTTTAACATATTATTTGTGTATTTTGTAAAAAATAACTTTTAACCTTTTATTTGACTTTGCACAATTTTTTTTTTTGAGGCTTTGTCTTGCCTCATGAATAAAAAACTGCCTCAATATCTAATTACGCAAATTTAAACCTGGCATGCATTGATATGTTTCTTGATTGTAGGCTTGTTTTCATTATTTAATTGGTAAGTCTATGCAAAATGGAGAACATATATATGTAACTTTTAATCATAAAGAGTTCAATATTAAGGGCTCATTTTGTTGCTTGAAGATGAAAAGTATGTTTTATAAAGTGATCACTTTTGTCATTTCTATGAATTATTTGTGATTTTATGAGTATTTTATTTTTATGTTTCAAGGCTTACGCCTCGTCTCACTAAGGCAAAATGCATCGATTCTCGATTTTAACTTTTTAAACATTGGTTGCAGCACAGATTATTGGTCTCTAATTTGTGTTCTTTAGTTTAATTTTCACTGTTATTTTAGCACTCGATATGCATTATTGTTTCCTTTAAATCTTCTGATCCCAAATTTTGTCATGCTAGAGTCAATTGTTATCCGTATTGTAGCTGGCTATGACATGTATTATGGGTCCATGTTTTATGCACAATCCTATTTATTATCTAATATGATAATGGACCATAGTGTTAAATTACTGAAATCTTAATGACCTCTATTTCCTTTTGTACTATTCTCATGGATGAGAACTTCCCATGAATTGACTTAATATTATTTGGTGATTCATCATTTCCTTTGAACACCATTATATTTTGAACTTAAATTTAAAAGATGGATTTAGCATGCTATTTTGTGTTTGCTAAAAGATAACTCATGAATTGTCACTTCTAGTTTGTACTGTTAATTTGTTCTTAATGATTATGCAGAAGAGGTGATTGCTTCAATTGATCCAAAGAAAGTTGAAATTCATCAGAGGTATGCGGAAGTTGTCTTCATTAGTTCCCTCTTTAATATATCACATTAATTGGTTACCTGAAGTAAAAGAATGGGCTATGAATTCTGAAGAAAAGACAATTCTTTTATGGTATGCTTGCGAGTGTGTCTAAGCTGTGGTGATTACCACTTTCTTCAAAACAGTTAATTCCTCAAAATTATTTACTTGTTATGGTGTAATAATGATTGATGCTTGTGTTGCTAAAATAGATTCGGATATTTATTGTGATGTTTTTTTAGTTGTTGATTTTCTTCAGTCAGAATATAAAAGCAACCAATAGAACTGAAGCACACTTCTCCACACCTCTGCGTGGTTGGTTGAGGTTGCTTGTAAAAAGATGAAGGCTCTTAAATTAAGAAATAGAATGCTTGTTACTTGAAAGGAATTTTTACTTCTAGTAGCTTCAGTTAGAAAATTTATGCAAAATATGAGAATTCCTATTCTGCATTCGATGGAGTCACTTAAGTTACTATTATTTGGAATCTATGTAACTAATTGTGTTGTAATATGCACTTATGTTCATTCATGTTTGTGTAGATATTTGCAATGGTTAATTGAAGATCAAGGCTCGGAGGAAATGCACCTTCACACATTATATGCTCTTTCCCTTGCAAGATCAGCAATTGAATTGGTTGAAAGGGACTCTAAGCTGGACAATCATCTTACTGAGAGATCTAATGAGATGAGTGCATCTGATGTTGCAAATAAAGGTGCTCTTACATATCATGTCAGGGAAAAGTTGCAGTTGTTTTTACAAGCTTCAGATTTGTATGATCCTGAAGTAGTGCTTAAGGTCGTAGAAGGGTCAGAGTTGTGGTTAGAAAAGGTATCAGACTTGCTTTTTCTATTTTATTATCTGTAATCAACTTACATCATCTGTTTACTTGCTCAAGAACACAAATTCAATTGCATATCGATATCTGTATTTCTAGTCCAATAAAATTATTTTTATATTTAATAATTAGTCTCTTTACACACTTCGCAATGGTTTGGTCCTGTTGAAAAAAGATTCCGTTTAGATGGTTTCAAACATTTTCCATGGTTTCCACATTCTGTTTTGGTTTTAGTTTTTGTTCTTGTTTTCAAAATATATCATATTTCTTAAGTTTATAATTAGAATAAATCATAACAATTTGAAATAAATTATGTGGATTTGTACTATGTTGATTATAAGTTGAAATATTACCAAAAAAAATGGCTGTCATATAGCTTATATGCCTCTGAGTAGTTTACTATCACTTCCTATTTATGTTTGAATATTTTTTAATTTATGTATTATTATATTAAAATTAATTTAAAGGTTGATGTAGTTCATTATGAATTTAACTTATCTTACTTATATAAAAATATTGAATTTTGTACTGATATTGACTACGTAGCATGTTAATAGATGTTCTAATCAATGAGCATATTTTGTAGGGGTGTCAATATTTTACCCGACCTGAAAAATTTCGGGTTCGGGTTAACCCCGAGGTTCGGGTTAGCCCTTTCGGCAAATAGGTCGGGTCTGGGTTCGGATTTCTGACCTATTTTAAAATTGAGTAGGATTCTGGTTGACTCGAAAACCCGAAGTTGACCCTGATCCCCTCCAGCACCGCATCACTCCAATGTCCCGCACCTATGGCCTGCCACGCTCGCGCTCTACCCCGCATCTCGCACCCGCGGCTTGCCTTGCCAGCACTCGACCCTGCGTCCTGCACTTGCGCCCTGCCTCACGAGCGCTCGACTCCACACACTCGTAGCCTGCACTCGGAGTTTTAAATGATATTAGTAATCTTCTTATACATTAAATATACTAGATATTCCTGATATATTGTGCTGCTATATTGGTCTAGTGGTTAGCAACTCTCCCTGTAGCCCTAGCAGACTGTTTAAATCGTAGCACTAGTAGTTTCTGGAAACTTCTGTTTTCTAAATCTTGTGAAACCTGACACCAGCGTTGGGACCCAATTCAATGCTGTGATCATATAGTTGTATGTCCAATGATGATGACCAGTAGTTAATACTTTTATGCTTCTTATAAGGATATATTGTCTTTATTACACATGAAATCTGACTTGAAACAATAGTTTAAAATTTGACCTGTTTTGGTCATCATCATTGCATTCCATATTTATTATCATGTCTGATGTTGTCTCTAGAAAAAGGGTTTTAACTGCTATATTTATGATGATGACCAGTATGACCAATGATGATGACCAGTAGTTAATACTTTTATGCTTCTTATAAGGATATATTGTCTTTATTACACATGAAATCTGACTTGAAACAATAGTTTAAAATTTGACCTGTTTTGGTCATCATCATTGCATTCCATATTTATTATCATATCTGATGTTGTCTCTAGAAAAAGGGTTTTAACTGCTATATTTATGTTTAATTTTTTTTTCCTTAAATTATTTGGAAATTTGTCTATATTTAGATATCATGTTTTCTTGGGCGAACTTGTAATTATCCCTAATGTCGAGCCAATGTTGCACATGACAATGAGGACATCGACATACGTTATCGACAAATTTATCGGCGTAGGAATCGTAGATCGACGGCTACGATTCACAGTCTTTATTTTTTATGCATTTATGTATTATTTATTTTATAGTTCCGATTGTACCCTTTTTACTTGAGTTTATTTGAGTTGTAGCCCAAGGGGCATTTGAGTCTTTTCCTTTATTTTATTTTAGGCCTAGATATTGTGGCATCATCTATTGTAATGGGATGATGAATTTTGAATGAAAATTTTATGTTTGTCTTCTTCATCTTTTGTGTGCACTAGAGAGGAGAGCTAGCCCAAGGTGAGGGCAAGTGCAATACCCCACCAGCCATTGTAAGAGTCCGTGGCTCGTGGTCTATCTCTTTTCGTTTCCTTTCTCCCTTTTCCCCCACCCGCCAATCCCTATCCACCTACCAATCCGCCGGCCACCTATCCTTCACTCCTCCACCACCACTCCACATCCAAAAGTCCTCCTCAAGATCCAATTAAAATCTCCTTCCCAAACTCCAACCGCCGGCCGAACCTTGGCCCCATCCAACCCCACGCCTAGCCGCCCCCTTCCCCCATTGCTGCCGACCCGTCCATTTTTTTCCCCCTCATTATGGTGAGTTCAATCATCATAATTACTCCCTACTTTAGCCCAAGTAAGAGAGGGCAAGATTTGAATTCATTTGAAATTCAAATTCGAATTTCAAATTCTTTCCATATATGGAATTTCAAATAAGGAAAGTATTTATTTACGAGTCCAATTTAAATTCAAAATAGATTGGATTTCCAAATCTACAAACTTTGTTTGGAAACTCTTTAAAACTCTCTCCCAATCCCTCCCTCTCTCTTGATGCCACCCCCCTCTCTTTAATGGGATTTTAAATTATTTTCTTATTCAAGCCTTCACCCTACTTGAGTTTGAATTTAATTTCAAATCCAATTTCCCTCCAATTACACTTAAACCTAATATTAATTTCCACTTAAACAAATTTCCCTAACCCTCATCCTAATCTGGTGCGAGCAAAAGATATAGGGAGCCTATACCCTTCGCCCACAAAAGACACGACGAACTTCTAAAGACGAAAACGACTAAAGATGAGAAAAGAGACGAGAACAGACTCTTACATTTCAATTTATACTAAACAAAAGAAAACTTACAATAATACAAACGACTCTTGCAAACAAAATGACGATACCCTAAAGTTGCTGCACTTAGAGAAGAGGGATACAGGTGGAGTGGCACTTGCGGAGAGACGAAAGAGATTAGAAGCCCGAGAAGAAAGGTTGGAAAGAGCCCGCAGGATTTCCGGAGGGGATAAGAAAGAAGGGTGGAAAGAGCCCGCAGGATTTCCAAGCAACCCGCAGGTTAACAGATTTTTTCCAAAAATCACATATCATTCAACTTTTCAAAACATTACAAATCCTCCCATATTTATAGGTATGAAAGAGGAATACAAAAGGACACATACATTTAATTATCACAATAACCTAAGCATTAAAAGCATGGGAATCTCCCCCCAAGCTCTCGGTTTAACACCCAAACCAAGAACCAAGGAGACAGCCACGGAAGACGAAGGAACCGCACGGACCAAAGAGCCACGGCCACGGGAAACGAAGGAACCGCACGGACCAAAGAGCTACGACCACGGGAGGAGCCCAGCCATGAGATCCCAAGAGGCAAACATAAAAATCTTAAAACCTTGGTGGAAACCAAGGGGTCATACATAGGAATACTAAACACCACACTTGGGATTCCAAAAGTCCCATTGGAAACCCAAAAGACTATAACATAAAAAGCCTAAAAACATTTAATTAAAAGATAATAAATGAACTAAAAATGTTAGCTCATAATGAGCTACCCTTAGTTCAATAAATGAACTAAAGTCCAGCTCATAAATGAACTAAAAGTTCAGCTCAATCATGATAAACTACTACACTCAAGGGAAGCCAAAATTTGATTTATTTTGGACTTGTGTTGACCCCCCCCCTGTCTACATGATAATCCCTCCCTTTCTTCCACAAATTGCTGGCCCTCCTCCCCCTCAATCCCTACCTTCTCCTCCCCTCTTCCCTACTTGTCTACTCCCACCCTTCAAGGCAAGCATGTATGGCCGATCCTGAGGTCGACCACGGTCTTGCCTACAACACCCAAGGAGAGATCGACATCATCTGTTCTCCTTTCTACGAACTGGACTGGGAGTACGACGACTCAGTGGAAAGCTACGTCAACTGAATCCTTTATTGTCTCGGCGAGATGATCGAGATTCAACAACCCAGAGCGCCTTGGATTCTCATCGGACGATCCACTCTTCCTCCACCATCGGTTACCACTCCATCAACGAAGGTCTTCGGAGCCATCTTCCTAGTGGTAATCTCCTTCCTCGTATGGTTTGTCTTTCTCCGCTAAAGCCTAGGGGTGGTTGAGTGAGAAGGTACTCAAGGTGAACTTCTCGTTATTAAGTGGTGGATTATATTATGTGCATGTAGCATTTACTATTGTCTTTGAATTTTGATTGGATTGTTTGGTTAATCTCAAGAGCGCTTCTTTGCTAAGCAAGTTGAATATTTTCAATTCCTAACTCTTCTTTATTTGCAAGCAATAATTTTATATTAGCAAGTTTTAATCAATTGTTACTTTTAATTTCTCAAGTAACTCCCAGTAGATTCACATCACATGAGCAGCTTCAATTTTGGGTTTTCTCTGTAGGCAATTCTTTATCGAAAAATTGGGTTGGAGGAGTTGGTGCTTGAGATCTTAGCTCTGTAAGTTTTGCCAATCCACTAAAAGAGTGCTTTACCTGTTAATTATTTATTATAAATTGCTTGGACTGCCATTGAACTGAGTTTTGTGCTAAAAGGAAACTGGAAGATTGTGAAGCTGCTGAACAGTATTGTGCAGAGATTGGTAGACAAGATGCTTACATGCAGTATGCTTTTTTTTTCCTTCCTTGGAATTGATTTTAGCTTTGTAATACCTTAGTGTTTATATGTTACATGCCTGAACGTATGCTGTAGGTTGTTAGATATGTACTTGAATCCAAAAGATGGAAAGAGCCCAATGTTTAAAGCTGCAGTTCGTCTCCTCCACAACCATGGGGAGCTTTTGGATCCCTTGCTATTGTTGGAGGTATTAATCTCTTGCCAAGTGTGCCAATAGTATTGTTATGTATCTTGAATAATTGCTGTGAAACCCTTTTTTTTAACTGACATCAAAGAAGCCATCACAAATATTGGATCTTTTTAATTTGCTTTCATCTGGTTCTTTTTAATGTTTCATGCATGAGTTGATATTTATTTCTATTTTTTAACCCTGCTTTTAATAGTATTTTTTACCATATATTGATATTTTAGTAAATGATTTCTCGGCTGGTTTTGCTAAGCTATCTTATTGCATGATATATGTAGAAACTGTCACATGAGATGCCCCTCCAGGTTGCCTCTGGCATAGTACTGAGAATGCTTAGAGCTCGAGTTCATCATCATCTTCAGGGACAGGTAGAGTGCGCCAAGAAATTAGAAGCTTCTTCATTTTTTTTTTCAAGCTGAAAGGATAAATCTTCTATTCTGATTTTCTTAAACTGATGATTTTTAGTTCTGATAAGTCTGTTTTCCAACAGGCTTTATTTATAAACTACCGGGCTCTAATTAGCACCAGGTTTCAAAAGCATGAGATATTTTCATTGAAATTACTTTAGCAAGTACTTGTTTTGTCCTCTGTTTATGTTTGACTTTCTAAGCAGTTGGACTAAGATCTACTAATGTTTTATGATCCATCGATGTAGTCTTGGCTAACTGCATTCGGGTACCAAACTATTTTAAGGTCTGCATATGTAGACTTTTATTCTAAGGGTACTCTTCAATTCTTAGGCTCAGACATTCTTTACTGCTTTATGTTTCATTTGATTCTGCTTCTCCGTTTTTGTGAAGAATGGGCTGGGATAAGATGGCGTTTTGATTGCTATGTGTGTTTAAGCCTTTTTAATTTCTTCTTGAAGCCTATGAGGCCTATGGTTGATGTCAAAATTATTTGCCTAGGCTTTTCATTTAGGTGTGCTGTTCGTTGGTAATATTTTACTTTTTTTATTGTTGTTTTGAGTTGGTTCATGTAAAACTTGTCAAGTTGTTATTTTTATATGCTTTAAACTTCAAGTTTCAGATTTATAATTTGTTCGTGCATTACCTTTTAATTGCTTGCTCATAATTGAACTGAATTTTCACTATTCTGACTTGGGTTGGTTCTAGTGCTGGCTTTGATAGGGTTCAATTCAATGAAATATTATTGTGAACAGATTTGGGTTTGGTTCCTAGGTTGGAACAGATACCAGCCCATCCTAATTTTATCCAAACTTTAAAAAAAAATAACTATTCCCAATTTTATTTCATTGACCTACATAGAATATAATGTTCCATAGGAAGTAGATGCCATGCATTTTGTTGCTACTAGTCATTTGTATGAACTCCCAACGTGGAAACAGCAGGATACCTTTATTACGTCTCATAATACAATCTTTGGCTCTTTATACTTTCATTTAAAGAAATATTAGATGTTGATTAACCATACATTAAGTTTCAAATCAATTGTCATAGAACATGAACAAGTTATCCTTACCCGGCCTTTCAGAGAAAATGGATTTTATTTGTCATGACTTAAAAAGGGCATTATTTGATTATCTGGTTTGCTTTATTGCTATAATTATTTGTTTGAACCCCAAGGTAGAATAAACCAGGATACCTCTGTTGCGTCTCATAAATATATCTTTTGTTGGGGTTAACTTCATTTCAAGAGATACAAGATGTTGATTAACCGTACACGAAGTTTCAAATCAATTGTCATTGACATTCATAGACCATGATCCGTATCGGCCTTTCATAGAAAATGGATTTTATATGTCATTACTTAAAACTGAAATGATTTTATTATCTATGCTATCATATTCAGTTTCATATCACTGTGTTATATGTGACAACCAATATATCGTTGATATCTTCTTCCTAGAAAAAAGGGTTATTCATGATAACAGGTCTGCATGCGAAAAAGGCTATTAACTTTTTGTTTAAAAATGCATATAGACTTATCTTGTAAACTGTAAATTTGTGAACCTTGTCATGTTAAAGTTTTGCGATAAAGGAATGTTTTTTTTATATATGAGTCTTTTGATTATTGTCTTGTGGATATGCTTTTATGTACTTTTTATTTATTATTTATAAGAATTATCAGTTTCATTCAAAACTAGAATGTGATGGGATGATGGGAACTATTTTCTTGAAAAGAACAAGCTTTTGACCTATGAAGCACAAAAACTTCCAACTGGCTATTGTGTCCATGTTGGACACTTGTTGAACACTGACATGGCTCCAACATATTGCGACACGTTTCAACACTCTAGAAATTATATCGACATTTTTTTTAGTGTGAAATTAGGCTTTGACATTTACTGACCGCTGTGGGACATGAATATGACATGATGGGAAATGTGGAACTTAAAGTAGCAAAACTTAAAATCAAAACTTGTAAAGGAAATAATACTCGTAGTATTATGTTTGCCTGAGTAGTTTGCAATACAATCGCTTATACACATGTTCTTTTGTATCTACCTCTTATTTTTCAAACTAGAAGAAATGAAAGATGATCGTGCAAAGCTGAAACCTTGTCGTGCCCTTCAAAGTCAGTATCCTTTTCATTTGAAGTCATATTGCGTTGTAACCTTCGAAGCCATCTTTGAAACAAAAATTGTGCCCGTCGAAGTTGATACCAAAATTGTGCCTCTTGCCCTACCCAGCCATTCAATTAATATGCACGTCGATGTTACTAAAAAAAAAAAACTAAGATAAAATTTTCCAACAAACAAATAATCTTCTACTTAACCCATTGTTAGGCATTGTCTGACTTTTTAAATATCATTTAGATGAGACTGATGTTACCATGTTGTTATTTGGCTCAATTTATTTGTCTTTTGATTTCCTGATAAGCAATTTTATTATATTATTATATGAAAAATATATAGACTCTATATTTTGATGTAATAATTTCTTAACTTTGGTATTAAATAACTAGCAATTTATATTATAAAAGTATAATTAACTTATAAATTCTTAAGTTTCTTTTTTGTTATTAGATAATAACTTTTGAGATGGGCACTAGTATGGCTGGTAATAATCCCATTAAGGATGAGATATTTTTTATGGGTATATGTTATCAAATTAGACAAAGTAGGAGTGATTGGAGTTGGAGGCAATATTGTTGTTAATTTGGGTTGACGGGTCAGGTTTGAGTTTGACGTTTGACCTAAATATAATTGACTCAAATCTGACCTATTCATCATATGAGTCAACATGTTTGACTTGAACTCAACTCGACTTTAATCCACCTTATCCGAACTTGGCCCACCTAATCAGTTTATTGGATCAACATGACCCTTCGCTATTTCATAACTATGAATCTTTTAGATGAATTCTCTTTACTATGTATCATAACATGCTGAGCTAAGTGAAGTTTCAAATCGTGCTGCTTCACATAAAGATATAGAGATATCAAACAAGAGGAACAAATGCTTGAAGTGGATTCTTTTTCAAATATTGAAGAGAGATCAATAATTTGGAGATTGCGAACTTCTTTGGATTTAGTGGTGCAGTTTGTGAAAGCAATGTGCAATTTTTGAACCATGGTGTTATCTCAACATGTGATATTTATTGATCTAGAGATGGCATATGAAACAGTTCCAAGAGAAGTTTTAGGGAGAGTTTTAGAAAAGAAAAAGTTAATAATGTTTATTTTCAAATCCCTAAGGATATGTATGCAAGCGCTATTACTTGTGTTCAAACACAAGGTGATTTGACCAAATATTTTCTTACTTCAGTTGGATTACATTAAGGATCAGCCTTAAGCCCATATCTTTTTGCTTTAGTCATGGATGTTCTCACTAGACATTTGCAAGAGGTGGTTGTATCTTGGTGTATGCTTTTTGCTGATGATATTCTTCTTATTGATAAGATTATAGAGGGAGTTGAAGGTAAACTTGAATTATGGAGGCCAACTTTAGAGTCTAGAGGTTTTCGTTTGAGTAGATCTAAAATCGAATTTATAGAGTGTAATTTTAATAGTAATAGATCCAGTGGGGGGATCGTGACTTTGGACAGTTAAGTCTTAATAAGAGTATGTTTTAGATATCTTGGATATATTGTTCAGAGTGATGACGAAATAGATGGGGATATAATTAGTAGAGTTCAAGTTGGATGGTTGAAGTGGAGGAATGCATCGAACTTGTTGTGTGATAAAAAAGCCCCCCTCAAACTTAAGGGAAAATTGTATAAGATGGTGGTGAGACCTGCAATGCTTTATGGTGCAAAATATTGGCCATTAAAGGAGGAGCATAATATTAAGTGTTGCAGGGATGAGGATGCTCAGGTGGATGAGTGACTTTACTATTAGAGATAGGATTCAAAATGAGCATATATGTGAAAGGATGGATTAGCTCCAGTGGAAAATAAGAGTACAGAGAGTTACCTTAGATAGTTTGGTCACATAAAGGGGCGGTCTTCCAACGACTCGTTAAGGAGAGTAGATTTGGCTTATGTTAAGAAAGGTAAAGGTAGACCTAAAAATACTTGGCTAGAAAATATTAGAAATGACGTTTTTTTACTAGATTTAAATGAGAAATTGACTCTTAATAGAATACAATGGAGAAAAATAATTCATGTAACCGACCCCAAGTAGTGGGATAAAGGCTTGATGTTGTTGTTGTTATTGTTTGTCTGAGATAATCTCAGCTTCCAAGCATTTAATATCTACGAAGAATTGATTATACTGTTTTTTTCTTGTCAGGTGGTTCATAATATTTCACGTGCTATAAGTCTAGATACACAGTTAGCCAGACTAGAGGAGAGGTCCAGAAATGTACAAATAAATGATGAAAGCGTTTGTGATTCTTGCCATTCCCGCCTTGGTACCAAACTTTTTGCAATGTATCCAGATGATTCTATTGTCTGTTATAAGGTACGAGTTATCTTTTAAACAAAATTGCTGGACTATTGGCTATTTAATTTCAGCGTCATTTTTTTATGTGTGCTTCCTGCAGTGGCAACAAGTGATGTATTATCTAAAATCCTGCTTTAGTACTGCACTTCTAACTGACACCTTGCTTGATAGATTGCTGCATTCAGTAATGCCCCCATATATGAAAAAAAAAAAGTGCAGAATATTCTAATTAAAATTTTGATGAAGTTGAATCTGACAGCCCTCGCTCACCTTGACGGCATGACCGCCGCTGCCCTCACTCACTCGCCTGTCTTTGAAACTAAATGTGTCTGTGGATTGGGTCGGTTCAATCCGGTAACCCGTGCGAGTTGGGTCTGGGTTGAATGATCTAACTCGTTTGCATAAACATGTTGGGTTCGGGTTGACCCGTTTAGATCCGGGTCATTACGGGTTTGTCCTGAATCCGATCTATCGACCCGATTTGTCACCCCCTACCTTTTATGTCAAAACAGATCCATTCGTTTTGATATATCAGGACATACCTATACAAAATTCTTTCCAAATTTGTGACTGCACACCCTTCTCTTATCTAATGCAAACTTTAGTTCAGTAATTAATATAAGCTTGAATGTTGATTACTTCACCGGCTTGGCCGTTCTATTCTGTTTTTCTTCGTGACAGTGTTATCGTCGCCTCGGTGAATCGACATCTGCACGCGGACAGAACTTCAAAGAAAACCCTATTTTTAAACCTGGTTGGCTTGTTACTAGATAGGAATTGTTCAACAGAAAACCTCAGCTGCAGCATCTTGGCTATTGCTGGTTCCAGGTTAGTGCAGTTTGCATTCCTGAATTGTAAGACTTCATTTGGAACGCCTTTTTTACTGCTCTCTAAAGAAATTTTTTAATATAAAAATTTGTTTATTAGAAAGCTGTTTTTAATTCCAAATGAAGCCTAAAAATTATTAATTTAATGACTTCTTTGTAACAGTAGTGCTGCAATCAAATTAACCTGTCATATTATTTATTGGAGCCTTCTCCAAGCCAAAAATTAATGTGCATAACTATACAAATATGGTTTTAATAATTATGATTTTTTTTTCTCCTTGCGGAGACCTAATAGTTGTGATTATGTTTGTTTAACTGCTGCAAAACCTCCATAGCTTTCAGCTTTTGAGTTATCTTTTTTTTTTTTTTGGTTTTTTGGAGCTCAGCATTGAAATTTCTATTCTTGTTTTTGTGTTTTTGCAGAAGAGTTGTGTTACTTAATTTTGGAATGAATATTTTTTTATTTATTATTTATTTTTCAATAAAAAAGGATTTATTTGGACAAGAAAATAGGCTATTTTTATGAGAATTTATTTTAAAAACTATTAAAATATTTTTAAAAATAGGTTATATACGAAATACATTATTTTTAAATTAGAAATGCAATATATCAAAATTCGTTTGTAGGGGTAAATAAGTAATTCTTTTAATTAAATCGAGCCTTTTTCTTTGATCCAAATTCAACCCATTAACTTGTTTGGTTAAAAAAATAATTTGGAAAACATTTTTTTATAATTTATTAACTATAAAATTTAGGATTATTTGTGAACAGGTCAAAAAAATTAACTCTAGTGTTTATTAAATGAGTCAAAAAATCTAATTAGGAAAAGATATTAAACAAGTCATTTTTGAGTTAAAAATAAGTTGACGGGTCAACTTGAACTGACCTATTAAATAAATTGGTTAAAAAACCCACCTTAAATTCGATATGTTTATTAAATAGGTCAATTCGAACTTATTGTTTTTTTCAGATCGGATCATTTATTGGCACCCCAAAACTTTCTCTTTTCTATTCTAGATTGAAACTGATATTCTATAGAAGATAACTAGTCAAGTAAATATATACGTATGCACCAAGCTGCTAATGCAAGTTTCTTATCTAATAAAGTAGTAAGAAAGCTATCTCAAACGAAGCCTAAATTGATTCGTAGCTTAAAACCCAACTTATATGAGCTAACTTTTTTTTGACTTAATTTGATATTCAAGCCAATTTATGGTTAGGTTTGGATCCAATAGAGTTAATCAATTGGAATGATATTTATAAAGATTTAGAGCTAGGATTGGATGAATTGAGTCGGCTTAAGATTTCAAGATTTGAAAGAAATACGATGAAAATGATCAACACTTCTTGCAGGATGGAGAAAAAAAATGATAAAGCTGTCCCAAATAAATTCAACACTTAATCATGGTAAAAAAAACATTCAAGGTGTGTCCTAAATGTACAAAGCTTATACCAATTCTACTTGGTGCAATCTAAGGCTTTGTTTGAAACAACTCTTTTAGGGTTTCTAAAACAGCTTTTTAGTATAAAAATTTCTTAAATTAGAAATTTTTGAACAAAAAAAGAAGTTTTAGAAAGCAGCAAGAAAGCCATCCCAAACGAAGCCTAAGATGGATGTGAAATTCAAGCTTCATTTGGGGAAACTTTCTTTCTACTTGCTACAACTTTTAGTATAAAAAATTCTTAAAAAGAGCGAAAAAATAATAACAAAAAATTGTCCCAAAATGGAGGGGAAGAAAATTGTTGTAGTTAGAAATCCCAAAATGGAGGGGAACAGATCTTTCGATGTCATCTTGGTGGATTTGGAGCATCATTTATGCTTTCAGTTTAAAAAGAATTTGATTTCATTAGGACAATTTTTTTATTGTTTGCTAAAACGGCTTTCTAATACAAAATTTTTAGTTCAAAACACTTTTTGTACAAAAAAAATTTCTTTAAAAAATAATAAGAAAGCTGTCGCAAACGAGTAAAAGCCATTAATAACAAGAAGCAATGAAAAGCATAACACATCGGTGTATTTAGATATGCATTTGACACTTTCTATTCTACAAATAAACCATATAATAATAATAATAATAATAATAATAATAATAATAATAATAATAATAATAATAATAATAATAATAATAATAATAATAATAATAATAATAATAATAATAATAATAATAATAATAATAATAATAATAATAATAATAATAATAATAATAATAATAATAATAATAATAATAATAATAATAATAATAATAATAATAATAATAATAATAATAATCTGTTTTAAGAAGCAGTAAGAAAATAGTCTCAAACAAATCCTAAATTCGAGTTTATAGGATTTACTAAGGCTTCGTTTGGGACGGCTTTTTATTACTTTCTAAAACGGAGTCTTAGTACAAAAATAAAAAAATTTGTACTAAAACTCCGTTTTAGAAAGCAATAAAAAAGCCGTCCCAAACGAACCCTAAGGCTTCCTTTGAGATGACTTTCTTATTACTTCTTAAAGCAACTTTTTTATATAATTTTTGTAATAAAAAGCTGTTTTAAGAACTAGTAAGAAAGCCGTCACTAACGAAGTCTAAATCCTATTAAAATTAAATCATGCTTGTATCCAAACAACCCCTTAATGATTTAAAAAGTGATCAACTCTCCTTTATGCGCTTTTTTTTTTGCATTTCAGCCCAAAAAGAAATTAAAATTATGAAAACTGATTAATTTTGTCGGGTTATTTGAGAGAAATTTGCATAAATCCAAAAAAATTTAATCCATCATAATTGTTGAAATTGCAAAAGCACTATCCATAAGAGAAGTGTAATTAACTTTTTATGTAAATTTCATCTCATTGAAAAAATAAAGAATTTTGTGTTTTGATAAAAAGCAAATTTTAGATACATACTCCTATTAAATTTTTACATATTTAAATTTTTAATATATAATTATTTACATTTATTTATATAATTATAATTACCAACTACTTCAAAATATTGCCTGGTTAAATAGTGCTCACAGAGGGGCAATTATGTAATAATGGAGTTTCATGTGCTCTGCAACGCAAATTGAAAAATAAAAATAAATTTGCTTCAGATAAAATGTTTGGCCCATGCAGGTTTCGAACCTGCGACCTTCGCGTTATTAGCACGACGCTCTAACCAACTGAGCTAATAGGCCTTAGGATGCTGATGTGAAATAAGGGTAATATATATTTTGTTTAGTACTGTTTTAAATAAACAACTCTTCATCAATAATAATATATTGATAAAAATTTAAAAAATACATGATAAATAGTTTGAATAAATATTACAATAACATAAATATTAAACATATATAATTGATACATCCTTAAAAAAAATTATCTTGATCGGGCATGACTCGAGAAAAATCAATTTGGAAACTTCTAAAATTAAATTTGGGATCATTTGAACTCCAATTTCAAAAATCTTATAGTTGAATTGAACATCTCGGAAATACGAACCCAATGACACCAAATTCGACTCAATACGAGCTCAAATGGGTCAAAATCAAGATCCAGAAGCGTTGTTGGAAGGTTTGAACCATAATTTGGTTTACCAAATGGTTTCCAAACATAACATGCTTATAATCAAATCGAGCGGCTTGAAAAGACATATCCAACAACCCCAAGAACACGGAATTCTGACATCACTAAGACGTTCAAATGTCTAACAAACAGTTCATGATCAAGAGATTCAACATTGGCAGTCCATTCAAACCACTCCCCATTAACCCTTGATCTTCCCCTTATTTACAGACCATGCCACTTTAGAAAATCTATAAATAGACAACTCCTTTCTTTTGAAAAAGGTCCCTAAGCAAGAGAGTAAGAGAGAGATCAGAGATCGCTCTTGCCTCCTCGCTCCTCCTTGACCACATGAAGCCCAAAATTCCACGAGAACACCTGAGGCACGGACTTCTGCCGGAGCATCACCTGAGGCCCGAACTTCTACCGGACCACCACCTGACACCAGAACTTCTACCGGACCACCACCTGAGGCCCAGAATTTGGACATACCACCACCTTAGGCCCAAACTTTCGCCTGACCACTACCTTAGGCTTGAACTTTTGTCCGACCACCACCTGAGGCCCGGACATCCGCCGGACCACCACTTAAGGCCTGGAGTTCCGCAGGACCACCACTTGAGTCCCAGGCTTTGACTGGACCGCAATTTGAGACCAGAAGTTCTGCCGAACTACCACATGATGCCAGAGTTCTGCCATACCACCAACTGAGGCCTGGAGTTCTACCGAATCATCACGTGAAGCCCAAAGTTCTGTTGGACCACCACCTAACGCCGAAGTTTTTCCGTACTACCACCTAAGGCCATGACTTCTGCCAGACCATCACCTAAGGCCTGATGTTCTGTCTAACCACCACATGAGGCCCAAACTTCTACCGGACCACCACCTAATGCCTATACTTCTACTGTACCACCTCCTGAGGTCTGGACTTCTGCCGTACCACCAACTGAGGCTTGGACTTCTCCCGCACCACCATTGTCTTATGAAAATTATCCTTCCGACCTTCGTCACCCACTATGGTCCTTCCGACCTCCATCAACAGACAACATTCTTTCTGACCCTTATCTCCTACCGACTATGGGTATTCCGATCCCGTCTCCTACTTTGGTCCTTTTGATTTCCTCCACTAAACAACGATTTTTCTGACCCATGTCTCTTACCGGCTACAATCATTTTGACCTTCGTCACCTACAACGGTCCTTCCGACCTCCATCGTTAGACAACGGTCTTTCTGACCCCTGTCTCTTGCTGACTATGGTCCTTCCGACCTTCATCGTTAGACAACGGTCTTTCTAACCCTTTTTTCCCTGCCGATTATGATCCTTCCAACCTCCGTTGCCTGCCGACTATGGTCATGCCGATTAAATGAATATTTCTTCCAATTTATACCATGTAATGCATTCTATGTGATGTATATCTGTTATATCAAGCCATTGCCTTTCCTCCCATGAAGGGTCTCATTTGTAATCGGCTGCAAATAATAGTGGATTCATTCAAACTAGGCCAGGCCCCATTGTTTTTTCTCCTTTTCAGGGGTTTCCACATAAAAACTCTAGTGTCTATTATGAATGCTACATTCTCTTTCTTATTTGCTTGTGTGCTGGATCTTTGTACAATGCTAAGACGTTAAACTTCATATTTCTCTACCGCCATGAATATTTTAGGACATAACAATAATAATATTAATATAATGAACCATAAACACTATAATAAATACAAACTAATACCATTAAGAGAACAAATACTAAAAAAGGCCAAGAAATTATAATTAAGCTTTTTTTATTCTCTATATTTTTTCTTGGTAGATAGGGCGTGAAAACGGGTCAACAAGTCGGATTCTAGTCCTACCCAAAATTGATCCGACATGAATCTAATTAATCTGAATACGACCCGCTTAACAAACAGGTCAAAAATGCCGACCTAAACCTGACCCACAAGCAATCTAAATGACCCGAACCCGACCAAATACTTTTTATTAAAAAAAATAATAGCTTTTAAATAATATATTTTATAAAAGAAATAAAATTAAACATGTCAAAATTAGGTTAGCTGGTGAATCCAAATCCGACCCATTTAATAGTCAGGTCTGAATTCTGAACTCTAATCAGACCGATTTATTAAATCAACCAACTTTAATCCTAATTTTTTGTGTCAGGTTCGGATCATATTGACGAATTAGATCGTTTTTTGACACCCTTAAACTACTTTATAATACTATTATTAGTATTAGTGCAGTGCATAGAATATATATATTAAACACCGACAATATGTATAGAGAGAGAAAAGTTATGGGATGGATCATGGGATTATCTGAAAGGCATAGAATGATGTGACCTTATAAGCCTTACAACCTCCCCTTTATCTCCCCTCTCTCCTAATGCCCCTGACCAAACCAAAGAAAATATCTAATTCTGATTATAAATTTTTAATATTTAATTTAAACTTCATTAAGGTTAATTTTTTTTATTATTTTTTGTTTGAAAAGAATTTATTACTGTTTCTCGAAGCAAATCTTAAGTATAAAAATTAATTTTTTTTAATAAAAATTTGATTTAAGAAAATGTAAGGAAGTCGTCCCAAATAAAGTAGAAATTATTCTGTGTAGTCACCTAATGATCTAGAAGCGCAACAAAAAAATGACAAGGCGCGTTTTCATTCGCCTCTGGACGTCGTTCGGTGACCGCACATAATAATTTCTCCAAACAAAACCTTAATTTCACACTAACCCGATCATAAATTATTGCTTAAACAATTAAGGCTTCATTTAAGATGATTTTCTCTTTAAAGTAGGTTTTTAGTATAATAATTTATTGCACGAAAAACATATGTACTAAAAATTGTTGTAAAAATCAATAAGAAAGTTGCTCCAAATGGAGACTAAATTTAAAAAAAAATCATTATTTGTATTATTTATAAATGTTTATTTAATGTCTTTCATACATTTTTTTTAGTTAAAACCCACGGAGGGGCCTACATGTTAATTTCAAAAATCGGTTACAAAGTCCTTTAAAGGACCAACCAGCTTACTACTGTTCCGAAGAGCTACAATCCAAAAAAGAGAGAAAAAAAAACTAGAAGCCGGTCGGTCCTTATCCTATGATTACAAAATTGATAGTAAATATCTATCAGGCTGTGAGACGACAGCACCCAAAAAAGGAAGATCCAATAAATAGCTTCCGGCACGAATGTCCTGCAAAAACTCAAAAGGAAATAGAAATAGTAGATAAAGAGAGGAAAGAGAAGAACCTTGCAAACATTAAAGCTCCCAAGACAGCAATTACTAACGTGCCATCTAAATGAAACTTGCATTCGTTTAAGCTCCCAAGAGAGCAGTTGATAGGTAACCTCAACCAGCATAGACTTTCTGTCAATAGTATACAAAGCTTGAAAGCAGAAAATAAGACCTCCAAACAAAAGCTTAATGGTCCTAATACCCATGATAATAGAGAAGCCAAGCCTGGTAACAGTAGAATCATCTAAAAGACCTTTTAAAGCAAAGATAGTCTGAACAAGATAGATAACGACTTTACGGTTCCAAGTAGACAAAATCCCATGAGGTCTTAAGCCAGCAACAATAAAACAACAAACCAGCCAAATAGAAATACACATTCTATCGTAATGAACTTGACTAAAGTAGCTATCAGAAAAACCCCTGAAATAACGGTAACCAGCAGTAAAAGGAAACCCCCCACATAACCAAAAAAACAAGAGCTTAACCATGTCTAATGTAAGGAAGGGCAATTTTATCAAGGGTGATCATACCTTTCAAAAGAGAATTTAAATTGCAAATATTCAAATCTTGATAACACTCAAGCTGAAAGCCGAAATTAGCCAGCTAGTCAGCACATGCATTTGCTTCACGGTATATATGAGAAATATTAAAATTGAGAGAAGACAGAGAATTTTTAATTTTCCTAATTAGATAAAAATTTTGAGGATTTCCCTGAGCATGGTTATTAATAATCTGAATCACAAGATCAGCATTCACCTCAATCCAGACATTTAAAAAACCCATCTTAATGCATATATCAATACCAAGGGAAACCCCAGTGAGTTCAGCAGTAATGACAGAGTAAGTATGCAAAGGCAGCTAACACGTTACCCTCATGATCACGAATAATACCACCCGTGCCAGCAACAGAGTTTCTTACGGAACCATCGGTATTCAATTTCACAAAAGGAAGAGAGGGCTTCCTCCAAACAACAAGTTTGGGAGAAAACCTGTAAACATTCTCACCCACTTTGATACCAAGAGAATCAGCCAAATAATGAGAGTTTTTGCAGTTTTTAATAGTAATTAAATTACAGGAGGACAGATGCAGAATTTTATGATTGATATTAGTGATAATAACATTAGCATCCATCTTAATATCACAATGTTTGGATTAATTTCTCGCTTTCCAAATGAACCATAAAATAAAAACAGGGATCAAGTTTAAGATGTGACCCTTAGAGTTGATCATCCACTCTTTCAATAAGGAGTGGAGTTCATTGTAAGTATCCCCATGATTCCGTTTAGCCAAAGCAAAGTAGTGATGCCAAATCTGCTTTGCTATAGTTCCATTCACAAAAACATGATTAACACTCTCAATGTTAGAACAACATTGGCATTTAGAAGGGAAACTAAAACCTTTTTTCTGAATTAAAGTATCAACAGGGATAAAGCCTTTAAGACATCTCCACGCTAAAATAGAATAAGATGTAGGAATAATGTTATGCCATAAAGAGGAGTAAATAAGAGAATAGTTGTTCCTATACCTGAAGGAATCCCACACTTTTTTCATCTGGAAATTACCCGAAGAAGACAGCTTAAATAGAATTTTATCCTTGCAAAACAAATCTAAGGGAATCGGCAGAATCATATAAACAATAAAAGGAGGAATAACCTCCAAAAGTTTAGTAACATTCCAGCTCCCATTAGCAATAAAATTAGAAACCTTAATATTATCTATAGAAGAGGTATTTAAAAAATTATCAATCGAAAAAGGACCAATCCAATTATCTTGCCAAAAGAAAACATTACCGTTACCAATTCCCCATTGAATGAAACGTTCGGCAGTCCACTTGATTTTACAAAGTCTTTTCCAGGTCAAAGAATCAGTGGCTTTATAAACACCAAGCAGAGGGTGAAAATCTTTACAATATTTAGCGTTCATAAAACGGGCCCATAAACTCTCATTAGATTTGAAATAGAACCAAAGTTTATGAGAAAAAGCTTGTACCATATCAGAAAGATTTTTGCAACCTAAACCACCTTCGTTATAAATGCCACAAATGTTGTTCCAAGAAGTCCAACGAATACCATTGCTATTAAGTTTGGAACTCCAAAAAAATTTGTTTATCATTCTCTCAATTCTAAGGCAAATAGTAGTAGTAGGTTGAAGAGTGTGCAATAAGTAAATAGGAATGGAATTCAAAACAGATTTAATAAGGATTAATCTATCCCCAAAAGACAACAAATTAGTGGACCAATGGGTTAATTTTTTCTAGAAGCAAGAAAAAATATCTTCAAAAAAGTGACTTTGCTTTTTACCTTTAAAAATAGGGGTGCCCAAATATTTAATGGGTAAAGTTTTAGCTTGAAAATCACAAATTCTTTGAATAGCAGTGATTCTATCTCTAATGATAGATTTACCAGCAATAATCGCTAAACCAGTAGAAGCATGGAATTGAACCAGAAAATTACTCAAAAGTCTAATATTGTTAATCAAGCCGTTAGAGAAAAGAATAAAATCATCAGCAAAACTAAGATGAGAAATCGAAAAACCTCTAATAGTACGAAAGTGAATTTTATGATTTCTTAAGTATAAATCTTCAATACCCCTAGATAGGTATTCCATAGCAATAATAAAAGCGTCGGGGATATATTATCACCTTGTCTTAAACCTTTAGAAGACTTGAAAAAACCATGGTTCCTACCGTTAATAATAACAGAAAAGTAACAATTATCAAAACTATTTTTAACCAACTTTATAAAGAAATCACTAAAGCCAAATAAAGACATAACCTTATAAAAAAAATTCCAGTTAAGATTATCATAGGCTTTAGAAATATCCAGTTTCAAAATGATATTGCCACCTTTAACTTTAGTATTAATTTCATGAGCAAGCTCTTGAGTCAATAAAACATTATCGAAAATGCTCCTACCTTTAACAAAACCAGTTTGATTACAAGAAATAATTCTAGGAAGAATGCTTTCCAATCTTTTGGAGATAATTTTGGAAATAAGTTTATTAAAAAAAGAACAAAGGCTTATAGGTCTAAAGTCATTCCACTTATTAGCCCCAACAATTTTAGGAATAAGAACAATATTAGTAGAAGTGAAGAATTTCGGGTAGGGAGAACCCTTAAAAAAATCGATAACAGCATCAATAATATCAACTTTAACAATATCCCAACATTTCTGAAAAAATTTAGTAGTGTAACCATCCGGACCCGCAATGGAGTCACCATTCAAATCCACAACAGCATTGTAAATGTCCACATCAGAAGGTAAAGACAAAGAGAATCATTATCAAAATCATTAATAATATGCGGGATAACGTGAGGATTCAATAAAGGGGCATTGGTAAAATGATCATTGAACCTGTTCTTAAAATGTTCCACACCAGATTTTCAAATAAGTTCCTCGGAATCAATGATAGAGCCATCACATTCAACAATTTTATGAATATAATTCTTAGTCTTATTACGATTAGCCATGGCGTGGAAAAATTTAGTATTCCTATCTCCTTCCAAAGTAAATTTGAAATTAGCTTTTTGTTTCCAAAAAATTTCCTCCTGATCCTGAAGCAGAATAAGAGAATCCTTAGCACAGTTAAGCATAATCAAATTCTCATTAGAAGGATCAACCATATAGGAATTTTCAAGGTCAAGAACTTTCAGTTCAGCTTCCTTGATGTTGGTGAAGACATTCTTAAAGACATTTTTATTCCACCAATTTAAAACATGTTTTAATCTACTAAGTTTAGACCAAAGACGAAACATACCTTTAATGTCATTATTAGGGTAAATGAGAGCATTCCAGTTGGTACTAATAACATTCTTAAAATCAGCATGAGAAATCCACATATTTTGGAATCTAAAAGTAGCCTTGCCCACTTTAATATTAGCATTGATATTAAGCAATAAGGGACAATGGTCAGATAAAGTTCTACTAAGATGATCAACAGAAGACATGGAGAACATAGAGAGCCAATCATTGTTGAAAAGAAATCTATACAGACGCTACCAAATAGTGGATCTATTCCAGGTGAAAGGACTACCATTAAAGCCAATATCATTCAGAAAGCAGTCAGAGATAACATAATTAAAATCTTCCATAGCAACAGAGTTAGGCAAATTACCTCCTCTTCTTTCCGAAGCATTAGAAATAATGTTAAAATCACCACCAATGCACCAAGGGCCATTTATATTGTTAGAAAATTGTCGTATTTGATCCCAAAGAGGGATACGATTCCATCTAGTGGTAGCAACATAGACAAAAGAGGCATAACACTTGTAGTTAAAAAATTCAATTTCACAATTAATAATTTGAGGGAAATCAGATATAATGTTCACATTAATATTGCTATTCCACATAATCCATATCTTGTTAGAACAATTAGCAGCAAAATTAGAAAAGCCCAATTTCGAAGCAGTAGAACAAAGTTTATTAGAAGAAATAAGAGGTTCAATTAAAACTAAAAACATGATACTATGCATTCTAGAAAGGTTTTTAACTCTAGCAATCGAATTCTTACCCCCAATACCCCTAACATTCCAAAGAAGAGCTTTAATCATTAAGATATTTGGAGGAATTTTGAGCATGGGTTGAACGGGGGGTAGAAGGTAGGGAATTTTTTTGATTTTTCCCTTTCTTTTTTGTAGCTTTCGAAAAGCCATCCTCATCAGAATTTTTAGAATTAGCATTAAAAGCAGTAGAAGAGGAAACTACATTATTACTCACACGGTTTCCATTCGGTAGGACATTAATCACCTCATTTGAAGGAGGGATAAATTCCCCTTCTTCACAAGTAACGGTGTTACCATCCGCAATAATCTCACTTTCCCTATTAGCAGCATCATTAGCAAAGGCATTAGATTGTTGTTCAACAATGTTAGAAGTAATATGAACTAAATCAATATGAGCTTCCTCTAAATTATTAGTATCTTTTAGCATAGATTCTATGGAAATGAAGATATTGGGATCGGAAGCCTCATTGTTGTTCAGATTTGTTTCATGATTCTCTTCCATTAAAATAATTTCAGCATTAGAAGTATGCAAAGGAGCTTGAGAAGCAACAATTTCAACATCCAACTTATCAGATGTTGTAGGCGGATCCACCTGAGTAGATTGGACTTCCATTAAAATAATTTCAGCATTAGAAGTATGCAAAGGAGTTTGAGATGCAATCATTTCAACATTCAACTTATCAGATGATGTAGACGGTTCCTCCTGAGTAGATTGGATAACTTTCCCGGTAGGCACATATATTTTCTCGGTGGATCCAAGCTTACCATCCATCTGAGCAGACATTTTTTTAAGTTCCGGGTGTAGTTTAAAGCAATCCAAAGGAGCGTGTCCATGGGTCTTGCAATGAGAACAAAAGTCAGGGACTTTCTCGAATTCAACCTTTTGCATATAACCATAGGCTTTCGATCCCACCCATATTTCCTTCGAATGCTTTTTGGTTATGTCCACTTCAACTAAAATTCTAGCCACAGAAGGTCATGTGCGTGAAGCTGTAGCTTGATCGGTTTGGAGAGGTCTACCGAAAATAGAACCCAAGGCATGTAAAACTTTCTGGTTAAAAAAATGAAGCCTAAGATTAGGAAAGGAAATCCATATGGGAACTATGGGCGATTTTTCTTTTATATCAAAAAAAGGCGCCATTTTAAAATGCGCATTTGACAGTTAAAGATGAAATACGATCTTCTAGCAAAGATTCTACTATAGTCAAGATCGTTAGAAAGTTGTATCGCTACATGCCTTGAATCTAAAAGACTAACAGAGAAGAAACCCGAGAGTTTAAGGTTAGTAAAAAAATTTTGAATATAGTCATGATTTGGTCTGTTAAGACCAAATTTACCGACCAAGGTGAACTGGAAGGGAGATGCCAGCTTGAGCACTTCATCATCAGTCAAAAGAATGGCAGGAACTCCATTAAAAATTGTTTGGGACAAGTTAGGGAGGACATCACCTTAAGATGCGCCACCTGAGAGAACATCCTTAAAAGATCGCGATCTGGAGGGCGAACCATCACCTGCCTCAAGATTGAAAAAGCCTTTATTTTTGATCGGCTCAGGACCAGCCACAGCGCCCCAAGGGTTTGGGGGCTGCGAAGCAGCCATCTACGAACAAGCCCTCGCGGGGCAAAGACCAAAGAACGGATAGAGCTAGACTAAAACACAAAGAAACACCAAAAAACTGGGAGAAAAACAAGCCGAAATGGACGGAAACGAAGGAGGAAGAGCGGAAACCCTAAATCGCCAGAGCATCGGGTTTCAGCTCAAGATGTGATGAATGTCTTTCATAAATGGATTGCATCTTATGACAAAAAATTTTCAATAAATTTATGACAAAAAATGTCATCTATAATAGGAAGTAGCAAACTTCTTAACTGCTAGTGAAAATGAATTTAAATGAGATATATAGATAGATAGAGATGAAGTTCTTAAAAATATTATTGATGTTCATTATCTGACTCATATGAGATGATTGCATGCTTCTTATGCTCGTCATTATGGGTGTAAGTGAGCCGAGCTGGGTTGTTAGTAGACATGAATCCGACTTGTTAACGAGCTCACGGGTTGAGCTTATCATTCTACAAATTTGAGCTCAAGCCTATAGTCGAACTGGCATATTATACGAGCGCAAGATCAAGCTGATCATTACATGACCGGTTTAGAAGATTGATTTTAAAAGAGGAGTTTTAACAAATATTTGTTAATCTTCATCATCATCTTATTATTTAGATCAATATAAATGTTGAGATCAATCACCTAAACAAATTTATTTATTTCCCATTTTTGAATATTTTTTATGATCCATCTGCACAATATTCTTGGCCTTGAAAAAAAAATCCAACTGCTCAAATTAGAACATGAAATTTCTTTGCTATATTTGGCAAAATCACCTTTTTTTTTGGACATTTAGGCCAATTAAGGCAAACTCACACACACAACGCATACACATAGACTCGAACCTTGGACCTCTTGGTTGGAAGCCTAAGCTCTCAACCAACAGGCCAAGGAGAGTTGTGTAAAAAAAAAAATCACATTCGTTCTCGTTCTTTCTCTCACATCAAATCACCAAAAGCCTTATTCTCTCTCTCTCTCTCTCTCCCTCCCTCCCTATATCCGTATCTTTTTTCTCTTTTCTTCTTATCTCACGTTTCATCTCTCCGTTTCCTAGGGCAAAGGAAAGCCTGTTCTTTAGGCAGAGGACGAGCGCAAATTATTAGGTCCGGTCCTTGGACCTATTTTTTTACGTCCTGACATCCAATAAAAACTTATCATCTGGACTGTGCTTGACTGTGCGCTTTGATTGCGCTTTAGTTGCGCTTTGACTGCGTTTTTTTATTGTGCTTAACCTGCACTTTACATGCGCTTTTGATTGCGCTTTTTTGACTCAAAGCGCAGTCCACGTGGCAAATTTTTAGTGGATGCCCGGACTTAGAAATAGGTTCGGTGACCAGGCCTAATAATTTGCTGAGGAGGAGAGCCAATTCTGGTTGAAGAAGCCGTCATCTCCTTCTTGGATGAGGTAACCGCCTTTGTTTCGATACCATAATGACGAAGAAGAGCTAGATTCGGATTTCTGTCCTCGACCATTTCATGTCTCTTATTTTGTTTTATTTTTATGTTTCAGTTATGTCTGATCTCAAAAATATTGTATAAATTTAGCTCTTTTAGGAGAAAATTCCAATCAAAATTTTGTTTATGATGAAATTTAAAGTTCATAAATTTATCTTCTGAAAATATAATGCAGAAGTTGAAGGATTGTTCATTTATTTCAATGGTCTCAAAACAAATTAAAAAATTTCTAAAATTCATATCGTTATAAAATCTGATCAGAATATTTTTTATGAGTTTTTTTCTTTCTTTTTTGCTAATCTTTCTAATCGATAGATCTGCTTTGATTTCAGGAACTTAGAATAGAGAACTCCTCCGTCAATCATTTTATATAATTTAGTTACTTGGTTTAAAATTTATTTTGATGAGATTTTGGTTTAAATGTCCTGCATCTTCATTGTACTTACATGCGCCATTGATTTCAAATTATTCTTTCTCTCTTCTATTTGTTTTAAGGGTTCATGCAAGCTAGAAATTTGATAGGAAATTAATGGATGGGGTATTGTGTGTTTGAGTTTGGGGAGTTAGCCATAGGGGACTTAGCATACATAAGACATTGCTAATTTGGAAGGAAAATGGTTAGTGTTTGCACTAATAGTACCGTTATTGTTGATTAATTTAGTGTTATTAATGGAAAAATATTTATGTTAGGAGATTTTGATCTAATTTTTTGTTAGAATGATGTAAAAAAATGGTTTTTGTTTATAGATTTTCTGTTATTTATGTTTGTGATCTCATATAAATGGCTTAATATTGTGTTGCTTTTTCATATATTTCACAATAAATTAATGTCTTTATATCACAGGTTATTAATGAAATATGTTCTATTATAAATATAATTTATATTTGAAACATTTGAATTTATTTGTATGAATGTAAAATAAATGCAAATGATTTTTTTTATTTGGTTTGAAGTTTGATAAATGCAGTGGCAAAAGCTTGATGATGGTGGTGACCTGCTGTACGTAGCGGTAGGAAGGGCTGAAGACCTATAGCTGGCAATGATTGCGGATATGTGGTGCATGACCAATGACGAGAGTGAAGTTAACTTGTGATATATTCAAAATTCGGCCAAAAACAAGTAAGTTTTGAAACATAAAAAATGAACTACTTAGTGAATTTGAAAGTAAAAATAATAATAATTCTTCGTTTGTTTTTTATCAGACCGAACACCAAAATTCTTAAAACATTTGTATTTTGAACATTTTACACTCACTTTTTATCAAATCAAATAGCCACATTAGTGCATGCGAAAAATTTTTCTCAAAAAATACATAAGGAATTAATTTTAATAAAATTAAGAGATAAAATATTAAAAAATAAAAAGCTTGAAGACAATTATT